ATGTCTTCCATCTATGAGGAAATGAAGATAACCAAGCTAGGGTAACCATAGAATCCTACCAGGTGTATACGGCATCAAAGATGATTAGATCAGCATAGCTGTCTTTGACAAAGGTAAATAGATCAGCTAACAGAACAGCCGCCAAGAGTTCCAGTCTGGCAATAGGTAATGTTTTCAGTGAGGCTACTTTGCATTTAGCACAAACAAGAAAAGTTCGAATTTCACCAGAAAGGTCCTCCAAACGAAAATATACGGCATTTGCGTAACCTACTTGGGAGGCGTCACAGAATCCATGTAATTCAATTCTAGCAATGGAATTGCAGCCTATAAATCGAGGAATTTTTATATTGGCGAGGTCAGGCATTTCGGTTATAAACGTAGACCAAAGTTCCACAATAGTTTGAGTTGGAGGATCGTCCCATGAAATGTTGCTTGCCCAAAGCTGTTGCAATAAATGTTTAGCCAGTAACAAACAGGGAGAAATAAATCCTAATGGGTCAAAAATTCGACTGATATCGGATAATATGGATCTTTTTGTATAAGGACGCTCCAGAGAAGTCTAAGTGTAAGAAAATATATCTGAGTTAGGGTTCCATTTTAAACCAAGAACTTTGATGAAGGAAGGCTCTTCTTTATCAAAAGAACAAGGTTCTTGAATATCACATTCGGAGATATTGAATAACAGAGCTGGGTGGTTACTTGCCCACTTGCTTAATTCAAAACCTCCCCTTTTCATAAGTTCAATCAACTCTAATTGAAGCGATAGAGCAGAGTCGAGATCATGGCTTCCTAGTAAGCCATCGTCAATATAAAATTGAGTCTGTAAGGCTGTCGCAGCCTTAGGAAGGGATGTTTTTTCTTGACATGCAAGTTCTTGCAATGTACGTAAAGCTAAATAAGGAGATGAAGAAACGCCATAAGTAACGGTCTGAAGATAATATTCCTGAACAGGTTCAGTAGGTTTGAATCTCCAAAGGATCCTTTGATAATCCCAAAACTGAGATGGTATATTGATTTGTCGGTACATTTGTTTGATATCACAAATGAAGACAATCGGAAAAAATCGAAAATTTAAAAGGAGTTTTGAAATGTCCTTTTGCAGCTTAGGACCTGTTAGCAAAGTGTCGTTTAGTGATACACCCTGTATATCACGTAAACTAGCGTCGAAAACAACCCGGATTTTGGCACTAGGGCTATTGTCCTGGCAAACACCATGATGTGATATATAATAAGCAGAATAAGATTTGAATTTAGTTTTAGGGACTAATGACATATGGCCACTATCCAGATAGTTTTGCATAAAATCGGAGTTTTTCTGAAGGTGCTCAGGATTCTTTGAAAAACGATTTTCAAGCATAAAAAAACGTCTGTAGGCTTGAGAATATGTATCAACAAAATGAACATTAGACTGACGGAACGGCAGTGCAAGTGAAAATCTCCCAACAGCATCTCTAGTGGTTGAGGATTGGTAGATTTCCTCACATTTTTTATCTTCGGGGGATAAGGAAATCGGTTTCGAAATTTGTTTAATTTCCCAGAATTTTTGTAATTGTAACTCCAGATTAGTATCCAAAGAGGCATGGTACGTAAGAAGTGAATTTACTGAATTAGAAGCGAGTAAACAAGTTGTTTTTCCTTGCAAAATATAGCCGAAAATAGTTTCCAAAGCCACAGGTTGGTCTTGTTCGCCAAAGATTCGACCTGATTTCAAAAATAAAGGCACAAGTTCTGCACCAATAAGCATGTCTATTGGACCTGGGACGTGAAATTGGGAATCTGCAAGTTTTAAATTTTGAATGTGTATCATCTTAGTAGGATTGATATGCACTTTAGGCTGATTGGAACAAACACTAGGGATAACAATCGCTTCAAAAGAGAAAATTGGTTTTGGTTGTCCATGAGGTTTTATAGTACATTGTACTAATCCACTATTTGTAGAAGTCGACATTCCATTTCAGCCTTCAACTGGAATAGAAAAACGTCTTCGAGATAGTCCAAGTTTTCTGACACAACTCTCTGAAACGAAATTTGCCATTGAACCTGTATCGAGCAGAATACGTATTTTTTGGAAGTGTCCTCGAATGTCTTTGACATCAACCTCACAAGTAGATAACAGAACAGTTTGCTGAGAAGTGGTAAAGTCACTGGTAATACAATTTACACTTGTAATTGAACTACCAGATTGATTATCCGCAGAAGAACTAGCCAAATTATTATCGTTGGGCATTTCAGGGTTGAAACTCTTGGAATGGAATGATGGAGAAATATTGGGTGTTTCAAAATGTGAAGTTGTATGATGTGGAGACCGACAAATTCTACACTTATGGAAAGAATTACAATTTTTGAGCGCATGTGGCGACACCAAACAGTTGACTCATAAATGGTGCTGTTTGGCAACAGAAAATCTTTCTTGTGGAGTCTTGTCCAGAAATAATTGGCATTTATACAGAGGATGAAATGATGAACATAAACGACATTTAGATCGGGAATGCGGATTCTGATTAGAAGATTGCGACGTTGCTAACAAATTAACTGGAGCTCGTTTGCTGGAATATTTTGAATTATTTTTGATAGGAAAATTGTTAGAGAACATATTAGATGGATCACTGTATTGAGTTGATTCTATTGCTGAACACTGCTTATCTAAAAATGCAACCAGTTGCCTGTAAGTAGGTAAATTCTGATTTGAGCATATTTCAAGTTCAAAATCGGTTCTAGATTTTATATCCAGCTTGTTCAATAAAAGACTGAACAGCAAAAAATCCCATTGATCAACAGGAAACTTTAATACTCTGAATGCGGCTACATTTTCAGAAAAAGTGCTCAAAAGGTTTCTGAGGTCACCAGAGTTGCCCTTTTGAACCGGAGGAGCGTGAAAGATTTCATTATAGTAATGAGAGGCTAAAATCCTTGGATTTTGATAGCGTTTTTCCAACATTTCATAAGCAATTACGTAATTGGCATCTGTGAGCGGTATGCCTTTAATTAAAGCAAGAGGTTCCTTTTGTAAGGAAATGAGCAGATACTGAAACTTCTCGACGTCAGACAAGTCAGGATTGTTATGAATTAAACAATTATATAAATCGTAAAAGCTCGGCCAATCTCTATAATTGCCCTCAAAATGTGGTAAATTAAGTTTAGGTAAATTAACACGCCCATGAGGAGGAGCTGGCAATCCCAGATTATTAGAAGAATTGTTAGATAGAAAAATATTTGAATCAGCTAAAGTAAGATCATGCTTTATTGATTTCGCACCTAAATAGGCTAGATCAGCTTTTATTCTCATGTCATCATAAGCTGAAAAATCATCATCAGAAATTAAAGAAATGAGAGTATTATGAGCTGTTTGAAACTCAGAATACACATCATTTATAGATTCGGTTCTAGCTAAAAAGATTGATTTCAAAGACTCATCAACAGTAGCCTTTAATCCCGACTCATGGGTTTCTTGCAACCGTTTAAAAGCAGTAGTTCGTTTAACATTAGCCTTTGTCAACTTATCAGCCATATTTATCAGCAAATGAATGAATGAATTTTATGGAAAATGGATAAAAATACTATATTTTGAAGAACCCTTGGAATAATAATAGCTGTTGTAACCTATTATAAAATAAGATTAAGAGGCAAAGAAAATTTTAATTAAATTATCTAGTAAATTATTAAATTATTTTATAAAATTATCGATGTATAAATTTCCGAACTTAATAAAATCAGTGCGATTTATATTTGACAAATTCTAAAATTCTATTTTAGTAAAGAAAATAAGGAATTCGAAACACGTACCCTAAAAAACAAGTACCACCAACAAAACCAGATTTGGGTTATAAATAAAAAAATGCGTTCTGGTCGAGGCGATGTTCAAGTACCTGATGGTGTATGTAAAACGGAATTTCTTGTAAGCTTACCAATAATTAATTGCGTAGAACAAGCAGACACAATTCAATTATGCAGAATTTAAATTTAAAAAAATTCAAAATCCGGTGCTGAAGGATCAAAATGTTGCGGAAAATATGAAAATTGAAATTGTTTGTGTATGATTTGAGAGAAAATGAAATAAATGTTTGAGCCCGGTACGCACAGATCACTTACCTTTGAAAAGGGTTTCTGTTGGTTCTCTGGGTACTGGTCCAAACTGAAGCGTGTTGACTGTAGCAGAGTACTCTGTAGCTTCTTAGGGCAGTAAAATAGGGGCAGTTTCGTTGTATTGACCGAATCGTCCGATACGATACGAATTTGTACGGGTCGCGTAGCGAGAGTGTGCGTTGTCTACTCTGCAGTCGAGAATATATTATTTTTAAAATCTCGGACAAGGCAGCATAAAATGTAGCTGCTTTCAGCAAGTGACGTGTGCGCATATGATAAACGAGAAAAGTCGTTAATAAAAAATATATGCACAATCGAACTTTGTAGATTGCTCTACACAAACTAAAATAGGCAAAAAGCCCTTTTGAGACTTTCCTAAACAATAGCTTAATTTAAAATATTTCCCATAATATTCCCAACATCGTTTTTCAAAACGCTGATGATATGTCCTCCTTGTTTTGCATTACACATGATGCTATGAAAGGCACGTTACCTAATTTCAAAGTTTTATTAAAAATAATATATCAGTACTTCTACAAAAATAGGAGAAAATTATGGCACGTGTTCTCATCTTCTCGGCCTTTCAACAATGTTTCACCTTCCAGTGCACTTTTAAAAAGACAAAAATTAAATTATATTTCCTACTTAAAAGCAAAAAACATTCTATAAAAGCGACGAGAGAGAGCTTTTAATTTCTGAGAATATCATATGACAAAATCCACTTAAGATCTCATTAAAGCCTTATAAAATTAACAACCGTTACAAATATAAGAGGATAATCAATTTACAGGCGGAAAAAATACACAAAAAACTTTGGAGTGTTATTTATCTGCAGTTTTTTTTTTATCGAAACAACTTTCACACAAACATCCTTTTGTTTATCGCAATAAAAACAGATTTAATGCAAAAGTTCTTACCTCCTCCATTTTTGTAGCACAAATAAGGAAACCGCCATATATTAGCCAAATCCACAGCAAAACCTATAATAGACAATAGGAAATCCGTATTTGAACCCCACGTTTCTCGGTTATCGTCGGCAGTAAACGAATCCGGATCAACTTCACCTGCTTGACTGGAAGTCGGAGATAGTACGAATGATTCGTGTTCATCTTCTTCTAGTTGAACATGAAGATCTTCTAAAATGTTAATTTTGTTATTAATTAGTTTTGAATTAAAGAAAAAAATTATTGATTGCTTTGTCAGTCATTATTTAATTAAGAAATGTTCTCTTTCAAAAATCAAATCAAATATAAGATGATGAATCTGACGTAATTTAATAAAAGCTATATTGGACAAACTGGGAGATCCTTAAAACAAAGATTGAACTAACACAAGAATTACCATTTTGCAAGGGCGAATTCAATAGCTTTGGTAGGGCATAAATTAGGAATTGGATATTATATCTATGGATATTATTGATTCTGACAGTTTGTTTGAAAAATAAAAATTTAATTGCGTACAGAGATAATAATAATTCCAAATACGATAGTAGATTAGATGTAGGCAATGACATATTAACACAGATAGACATTGAGATGTGGTTTCTCTCTGTGTTAAGATGTCATTGGATATAGGTACCTATACAAAATATACCTAGTAGATTACTTACTTTTTCTCAACGTACACGTGAGTACTAAATTCGACGAAGTATTACTAAGTCTCGTTCGGCCTTTTCCTGAAACAAAAACAATCAAATAAGTTTTTCCACAAAACTGAGTCATTATTATTTTTTTCAACTCTGGACGAATACGATAATCATTTTAATTACTGGCAAGCCTCTCTATTAAAGCTTCTTTAAACTTTCCAAGCTCATTTAGAAAAAAGTTTCTGCTATGCAAACTCATTTGACGTACGGCCAAAGGCTACGTTTGTTTGTTCCGATTTTTAAATTATGAAATGTGTTTTTGACTATGAAAAATCAATAATAATTACTAGCGATTATTCAATTCAAAAATTGTTAAGAAACCGCATTAATTTCTTAACAAAAAATAAAAAAACGCTGTTGAGCTGTCCTTGATGCTTTTTATTGTGCATGGTGGAAAAAGGGGGGTCGAAGAGTGGAGAGCCGATAGCAATTACATGTAAATGAATAAATTCGCCGTCAGCCCAGGTATTTCCAATAGAGGCACCTGCGGAGAATTGTCGATCGCTTCTCTCTGGGACATTCGTGGCTCTATCATAGGATAGACCGACGAATAGAGACGACGACTTTGAAGACGAAGAATGTTTGATAGGGGACGATAGGATATGAAACGATTTTTTTTTAGATTTGAAATAAGTTGTGGATGTTAGTAAAAAAGGTAGTTTCGGTTTTAATGCTGTACAAGGTACCTATCATATTAACGTATTCATGAGTATTTTGTTTCTAAGTTGCTCTTATTGTAGAAATTCGTAGACTCTGTATAGACATTTTTCACAATTTCCCTTATCTGTCTTGGCAAACGTTACATTTGGTGACCGTGACAGGACACGTTTTTCTGTGATGATGGGAAAAAAACGAAATGCTTTCCTGCGGATCTACAAAGATGTGAATTAGATGCTTGGAGAAGATAGATGTGACATGTTGAATATACAAGGCAATGTACGAGTACTAGACGAACAGATGAAAAATATCAGTGAATTAAGTCAGCTTTTATTTGATTTAATGCTGTCTTCCAATGAGAGTACTGAGTTGCTCGATACTGAGATGCAGTCGGCTAATGAAATGCCTTGCAAATATTATAAATTGAAGATCCAAGTCGAACACCTGAGCAACAGTAAAGCTGGTTCTATGTCTTCCATTAAGTCTTTGTCTTATAAAAATAAAATAAGTTAAAGCTACCTAGGACTGAACTTAAAAAGTTTGGAGGTGATCTGAAGAAATTGCTGCCAGTCTAAAGTAAATTCCGTCGGATCGACGAAGATTCCGATATGGAAGAAGAAGACAAATTCTAGTATCGGTTACAATCTACGATTCCGAGTTCACGTGTCCACCAGTTAGTCACTAGTTACCTTGCGACCAGTGAAAACTATCCCAAGGTCATAGCAAGAATGAAATCACGTTTCGGACGATAATCAGCTTTCCAGTTTTTACGATAAAATGGAGCCTCAGTTACGTACGTTGGAAACTCTATGTGTAACGTCTGATACTTACAGTGCAATGTTATATCCCTTAGTCAAATCATACCTAGGTGATGATTTGATACGAGCCACTTAATATTGACAACTCCATCCTTCATGACAGACTAGAGAAGTTGATGGTATTTTTGTAGAAAGAAGTCGAAAATGAAGACAGAATGGCATTAGCTACTTCTCGATTTGAAAATACTGTCAAAGAAGAGAGAAAATCTGATAATCCTAATAAGGTTTCACATACAGCTGCTGATTTATTGAAGAAGGCCCCACATTGGAGACAAATGCGGTAAAATTTTCAAATAAAGTCTTCCAGAAAAGACACTACTTTCTGAAAATGGTTGCTGTCATTTGTGTCTGAAATTTGAGGATATTGCTCGAAGATGGTAAGATCACTTGTTCTATTTGCTATAGAAAACACACTACCATTGTTTGTCCAAAACTTGAGGATTGAAAATCAGATGGAGCAGAGGTTTGCGAAAATGTTTCAGGTGCTTTTATTACAGACAATGGTGGTTGAATTAAAATATGCTGATAAAATACGTCGAGCAAGGGTCATTTATTTATTTATTTATTATACGTAATAACCCCAATAACAGCAAAATTACAACAAAAAAGAATAATTTGGTTATGTATACATTATAAAACCTGCAGCAAGTGAGCATTAACACTAAAAGAAAAACAAGAAATAACAAAAGTAAGGTTGGGATTCAGAGATACAGGGTGAAATAAAAAACTATTTTCTTAGATGGCTGCATGAAATACCCTATTTAGTAAATATCAAAGTCCTCAAATGGTTAGTGTTTTCACAAAATCTAGAACGTAGAATATCACACATATTCTGCGATGCCAGCAAAGAAGCTTACGCTACAGCCGTTTTCTTGAGCATGGGAGTTAATGATTCTTGTGCAAGCAAACTCAAGAATTGCGCCTGTGAAGTAATTGAGTATACTTACCTCGTTTAGAATCAACGGCTGCAATGATGGGATCTAGGATGTCGTACAATGTTGTGGAAAATATTGATCCCTCTATTAAAACCTACTTTTGGATTGATTCGTCCACGGTGTTGGTGTGGATTCAAAGAGAAGAACAATGGAAACCATTTGTTTGAAAACGTGTTAAAGAAATCAGGAAGTTAACCAATAAAAATAACTGGTTCCATATATCTGGGGAAGATAATCCCACAGATCTTTCATCCCGGGCGTGTTTTGGTAAGAAGTTGGTTGATGGTAACGAGAGGGCCCTTAATGGCTAAGAAAACCGTTTGAGGAACGAACTGTGCCAAATTGAGAAAGAGAGAGAGACTATGACGACACAATTCTTTAATGAACAAATGACAGTCATACCCACTTAGATTGTGAAATATGATAGGGATAAAATTAGGTAATTTGTAGTTCAAATTACAAATAAAATGAGCAGCACCAAATCTTTTCTTTCCCGTTATATGACAGTAGTCTCTAACTTCAACATGATTTTTGTTGAATGGCTTCTTGCAAATACCACATGTTATTGCATTTCTGAAATCCAACTCTTCGTCAAGTGTTGGATGATTCATTGGTTTTTATATCTTTACAACAGGCATTTTAAAGATGTCTCAACGTTTTCCAAGCGGGAAACAAAAATTTGGGCTGCATCACTTTCGCGATATAGCTCAAATTTAGAAACTGAATCATCTGAGGAGCATTTTATTAGATATGCAAAAGAGTACGGTTAATGTATGACGCTTTTTATTGTGTAAGAGTTATGAGGGTTTGTTTCACTAGTGTCCATCGGTTTTAAAATTGATTTGAAGTCTGCAACCACAAATGGAACATGAATTGCCTGTAATAATACTGACCTGACATGGTCAGAATTCGATTCGATGTGATGATGTGAAACTGTAGATACTGTAGGGTGGACAGCATATCTGACTGCATGCAATTTCAAGCCGATCCAACTTTAGTGAACCAATGGTCTAAAAAATGACAATCTACTTCTGAATGCTGCTAAGTGCTGTATAGTTTCTTATTCTCTACCCTGATCACACTCTTTTAAAGATCTAGGGGTGACCTTTGACACTTTTCTGTCATTTCTTCCTCACATTTCCGATATAATAAGACGAAGTTACAAAATGCTAGGCTTCATATTAAGAAATTCTAGAGCTTTTAATAGCATTCATAGTCTCAAAATATTATACTTTTCATATGTTCGTCCTATTCTAGAATATGCTTCCCAAGTCTGGTTACCCCTCCATCAAATTCATATCCACGATCTAGAAAATATTCAAAGGAGATTTCTAAAATTTCTCTGCTTTCATTGTGAAGGAGGGTACCCGGAAATCTGGGTTCCTCATGAGCGTCTGCTTGGAAACTTTTCTACGAGGATATTAGTGGAGAGAAGGCAGTCGGCTGATATACAATTTTTATTCAAATTAGTGAACGGTGAAATAGACTCTCCTGAGCTGTTAAAACAACTTAACTTTCATATACCTCAGAAATCATCAAGAAATCCAGATTCAGTCCCTATTCCTCTTCCCATTGATAGAGTTCGAGAATCACCAGTTTTTGAAGTTACTGGTAGGACTTAGCAGGTCCTTTATACTTGTAAACCGGAGATAGATTTTGAATAGAAAGATAGAAGCAATAATAATATAGTCTCCAGGTGAAAGTTGGAGATATTGTGGTTGTGGTGAATGATAGCCAGAAAAGAATCGACTGGATTCTGGGTCGCATTAAGAAGGTGATACGTGGTAGAGATGGAAATACACGTTTGGTAGAATTGAAGACCGCTTGTGGAAAATTACTTCCACCTATTCAACGTACCTATGTCTCATGGAAATGGAAGAATATTATATTTCTCCTTCCTGGAAAAGAACATCCTGAAGTTCAGCGGATTGTTCAAGAAAATAACACCGAATATACAGTGAATGTAAGAAGTAGTAGCAAAGATGAAAAGTATATCACTACAACACGATCGGGGCGAAAAAAAATTACCCACTAGATATGAATGTTTGGTCTCATATTGTTGATGACTGGGAGAGTGTAGACATTCATAGACCCCGTATTGAACTATCCAAGATGCTGTCAAACTTGAATTAAAATGGCCGCCAAGAGGCACACAAACCCTTTTTTTTATGTGTCATTCAATGTGTCATGAAATTTTTTTCAAAAAAATAGTGCTCATTGTTTATTTGCGTTTTGATACTCGTTCTTTCTACTCGTATTTTTATTAATGTTAGAAATAGAACAGATCCCTAGGGCACTCCTGCAGTGATATCCAACCCTTCTGAAGTACTGCACCCCTAGAAGCAGTACTTCATGACAGACACAATCGAAAGGTTTTTTCAGGTCACAAAAAACTACCGCGGCCACTTCTTCGTCATTTATCTTCTAATACAGCTCATCCAGGAGATGAAATATGGCATCATCAGTGTTTTTTGACTGCTGAAACAGAGACAGAGAAAGCAATTTATGTCTTTCAAGGAAGTTCACCATCCACCTTAATTAGCCACTCTACAATTTTAGTCTAAGTTGCCAGTAAGGATATTGGCCGGTAATAAGATGGTAAATTCTTATCACACCCCTATCAAACAAAGGTACTACCCAAGATTGCTTCAAAAATGAGGGAAAACTTCCGGTAAGAAAAGAATTAATAATGGAATCCGCCAACACATCAACAGCCTAACTGAGATATCGTCCCATCCAGAAAATTTTCTATTTTTGATACTCAGTTTCTGAGCAATCGTACAGTAGTATGAATTAATATTATCTGCTTTCAAATTGGAAGCACATATGTATATTTCTTTTTTTTTTTTCGCGTAGGTCATTACTCTTTTTGTTTATTGGATGCGGATGCCCAACCTCTCATTGTAATAAATCTTCCTTGCCTGTTTCATCGTCTTTCTGTAGATGCTCCTGTATCCATTATTTAAAGTAGGTAGCACAACACTGGACGGTGGAGTTGCAATAAATAAATATTTTCACATTTTAAGGGTAGGTCCTGGGTGTCCAAGTGAAATGTAGGTAGAGCAATCTTGCCCAAACAATAGGGATTCCGTA